AATCCAAGGCAATTGGTTATAAACACCTCTTGTCGCATTCATTGAGGGTATCCCGTGGTTTCGAGTGTGTTCTCTCGTAGTGTACTATGACCATGCAATCCAAAGACAATTGTTTGCCACACCGCCCTCTGATAGAATCCATTCGTTTTCTCTGCCACTTCTAGTGCAAGTAGTAGACGACTCATCAGCAAAATGCCAAGCTCAACTGCAGCAACACGACAAGCAACAGCAGGCGCAGCAACTGCAACTGCAACAGGAAGTACAGTCGCTCAGACAGCAACTACTGCAACAGCAGCAACACGCGCAGCAGATCCTCCAGATGACCCCCGGACAGCCCACATGTGACCGGCATGGCTGCATTCGCCCAGAATACGAGGAGTACCATGGAGGGCAGTTCAAACCAGGCAGCATGCTGTACGGAGGAGGGATTCAATACCCAACGGACATCTGCAAGCAAGCCCACGACAACGAACCTCGCATGACCCTGATGATGGCGTCTGAGATCCAGACGCTGTTTAGGGTAGGGCAAGCGATGGCACTAGTGCTGTATGAATGGGTGTAGTCTTGTTGTACGCACTCGCCCTGCACTGATGTAGAATAGTCCTGAGGTCATGTTGGTTATATTGGAGTGACTCGTCAACTACACTTGGGACTTGGTATTAACATTATGTTTATGAATTTGGAATGTATGTTTAGCTTGGGACTTGGTAGTAACATTATGTGTATGAATTTGGAATGTATGTTTAGTTAAGCTACACATGGGACTTAGTATTAACACTATGTGCATGAATTGGGAATGTAAGTTTAGTTAAGCTACACATGGGACTTGGTATTAACATTATGTGCATGAATTGGGAATGTATGTTTAGTTAAGCTACACTTGGAGCTTGGTAGTAACACTATGTGCATGAATTTGGAATGTATGTTCAGTTAAGCTACCATGGGACTTGGTATTAACATTTGTTCTGTATTACGTATGCGGATGTGCATCAATTGGGAGTGTATGTTTAGTCACGTATTGTGTTGACACTCTTTCGATCGCTGAGGAATCGACTGGTCATGAGTGAAGAGTAAGCTATCAGTAGACAATGTGCGAACCTTTTCTGCTACACAGCTGTTGCGGGGTGCAGCTCTAATCGCTATCAGCCTAGTTAAATCACATTCTATTGCTTTAAAGTACATCTCCATGGTCTGCTAATGCGCTGTGCTTGTGCTATTGTGTTCAATAGAGCTACCTGAACAGCAGTGTGGAGTATCTCGAATGGGGCACGGGTGGCAGCACATATCAGTTCTATGACCAGGTATGTGTATTCGTGAGGTAAACCCTAAAACCCTAAGGCTAATCGCTACTGCTGGCTGATGTGCCGTACAGGGGGACTTATCAAGTTAAGTAGAATGCGTGCTATTTGAAGACAGGAACATATGTGTGTGCAAATACTTAATTGCCATGCGTAAGACTATCATGTAGTTACCTTGTGCACAGTGTGTATACTACATGTCAGTAACTCATGTGTGTGCGAATACCTAGTTGCCATGCGTAAGACTATCATGTGGTCACCTTGTGCACAGTGTGTATACTACATGTCAGTAACTCATGTGTGTGCGAATACCTAGTTGCCATGCGTAAGACTATCATGTGGTCACCTTGTGCACAGTGTGTATACTACATGTCAGTAACTCATGTGTGTGCGAATACCTAGTTGCCATGCGTAAGACTATCATGTGGTCACCTTGTGCACAGTGTGTATACTACATGTCAGTAACTCATGTGTGTGCGAATACCTAGTTGCCATGCGTAAGACTATCATGTTGTTACCTTGTGCACTTCTACCCATGAGCTGTTACAGTGTGTGAGAATGTGCATGTATTGTCCAATAATGAGAGGCTCGAAATTTGTCCACCATTCTTATATAGCCATAAATCTGCAATGTATGGGCAGTTCGAGTAGCGTCTAGCCTCACACTATACGTAATTGCAGCGATTGTTGTAGTCTATTCAAGGCCTTATGCGTTACTCTGGAGGTCTAAGTAGGCACGGCGTATCAGAATGTTCAACTCAGCCGACGCACACGCCACCCACAGGTGAAACACATGACGTCTATTGAGAACAACGAGGAGTGGTGCAACATCATGCTCAACACCAGCCACGTGAAATGCGGCCAGTCCACCGGCCAATTGGACTACTTCTGTCCCATGCGCAATGCCCTGTCTGGGCCCTATGGTGTACCGGTATGTGTTGTGCCTTCTATGCCGTTGCGTTGCGTTGTGTTGCGTTACGTTGCGTTGCGTTGCGTTGTGTTGTGTTGCGTTGCGTTTTGTTGCGTAGTGTTGTGTTGCGTTACGTTGGGTATCTCGGCTGTGCTGCGGGCGCTGTTGGAGCGAATGGAGACGTCTATGGTGCACGTGACACACACAAACCCTAAACCCTAAGAGCTGTAGAGTGTTTGTGATTCTTTCAACCTCTTTGGAATGGCATTGTCCATGACTGGTGTCTTCTCGCCAGTTGAGTGTCAGTGTACCGTAGTTTGTTTGTGACACACTGAGCTGTAGAGTGTTTGTGATTCTTTCAACCTCTTTGAAATAGATACATTGCCCATTGCCCATGATGGGTGTCTCCTCGACAGTTGAATCGTGAACCGTAGTTGCAAGTCTTCATAGTGATCGTTTTCACAGCAGCTTCCACAGTTTCTTCACTGGCCTCATTGACGCCAAACCAGGCTGTCTTTCTGATTTCGATTCATGCATCGTGGGGTAATAGCTACAATGCATTAGCGCTTTCTGATCTGCTGAGCTTTGACTCTAAATCGCCTGCGCCTTCCTCGCCCAAACATCGAATAGAATAGAATTGCACTGCTGCGGGGAATGTGTACAATCGCTTTAAGGCTTTCCAAAGATTCACAATTACATAATACGCAAAAGATGTACAAATACACAATACGCAAAATATGTACAAATACATAATACGCAAAAGATGTACAAATACATAATACCCAAAAAGATGTGCAAATACACATAATACCCAAAAGATGTACAAATACATAATACGCAAAAGATGTACAAATACATAATACCCAAAAGATGTACAAATACATAATACCCAAAAGATGTACAAATACACAATGCGCAAAATATGTACAAATACATATTACGCAAAAGATGTCGCATGCTATTCACCTTCGCCATATTCGCACATTGTGCAAAGCGATATATAAGTAAGTGCGCATTTCACTCTCTGCCCCAATGGTTCCTGTTTCCATTACTCACTACATACCAATTCAATGTCTAAACTATGTGCCCCAATAGTTCTTGTTATCATTACACACTACATACCAATTCAATGTTTAAACTCTGTGCCCCAATAGTTCTTGTTACCATTACTCACTGCATACCAATACAATGTTTAAACTCTTTGCCCCAATAGTTCTTGTTATCATTACTCACTACATACCAATTCAATGTTTAAACTCTGTGCCCCAATAGTTCTTGTTACCATTACTCACTGCATACCAATCCAATGTTTAAACTCTGTGCCCCAATAGTTCTTGTTATCATTACTCACTACATACCAATTCAATGTTTAAACTCTGTGCCCCAATAGTTCTTGTTATCATTACTCACTACATACCAATTCAATGTTTAAACTCTGTGCCCCAATGGTTCTTGTTATCATTACTCACTACATACCAATACTTCGTTTCCCATCTTAATACGGTAATGTATCTATCTACTACATTCCACGATCCGGCCTGGTCTTTGCTCAATAATGTAACATGCTTTCTTTCTTTTCCAATTCAGCTCTATGACAGTATAATTTCTTCGCACGCCGAGGTATGTATCTCGTATTGTTTAGAAGTGTTTGTGGAATGTCCAGAGTGTCTATAGTGATAAGCACAGTAGGGGTTAAAACCCCATCAGATTACATACCTACATGCAAAACCTCTTTCGCAGGGAGGCTCGTAAGTAGAATTTCACGTGAATTTTGCTTCAAGGTTGCATGTGGAAGTGTGCTCAATCACCCAACCAGATCCCAGCGGGGCCAGGTCCAAGACTCTCAGACTCTCAGCCTCTTGTGTGTTGTTATTCGTATATACTGTGGCCCTTGCTGCGCATCTTTCGATCGCGCGAGTTGAAGTTATTGCTTCCGTTTGTTCAATTCCACTGTGTGATTGTTTTCAATTAACAGGGCAATCACACCGGCTTCTTCAACTACCACAAATACGTCAACATCCTCGACTACCTGCCCAATGAGTACTATGATGTTATTTTGGTAGATGGACGCTTCCGTGTCGCGTGTGCATTGAAAGCTCTTGCATATGTCAGGCCGAAAACCGGTGTGCTCGCCATCCATGACTATCAGCGACCATGGTACCATGTGGTCGAAAAATACTACGACAAGGTGTGTTCGAAAAATACTACAACAAGGTGTGATCATGCAGTGTTGATGTTCTAGAGCGTCTCAAAGTATTTTCACTACTCCGCCCCGTGAGTTTGGACGGTTCAAGCGAGTAAATTTCCGAGCTCGTGCCGTTTGTATTCTCTTGAACACACTCAATCCATTAAGGACCGCGCTCTTTTGTTAAGGAAGCCCTTGAATGCGCATGGGTGTTGAGAAGTGTACAAGTCTACGTTCCTGTCTTCTTCTCTGCCTCCGTATCTTTTACTACTCACACGGGGGATAGGTGACACCAATTTGCACTTGGCTGCAATCTGTCGTGTATGGTCTAAGGCAGTCTTTTGATCGAGCAAGTGACTACTAGCTAGCCAGTGATAACTAATAATTGTATATACATCATATGCATGGCTCCCACTTTGTATCTCTGGCATGTATTTCGTACGTAAAATTTAATTCCAGGCTCTGTGTATTGCCTGAGAGTCTAGTACGTAAGCTTCATTGTAGTTTGTACCCGTCGAGCATTGAATAGTCGAGTCTCAGTTCACAGGCATGCACCTTGCAATGAAAGATCGTTCATGATTCTCTGTCCAAACATCGCCTGCTCTGCGGAAGTAAGTGAACCTTTGGTCTTAAAATGCAGAATTTATAACTTTTAATTCTACGTACATTGTGTTGCTATATCACCAGATCGAGGAAGTTGTTGGACATGAAACATTCGCCGTCTTCAAACCCAAACCAGACCTTCTAGAGGCTCAATATGACGACTACCTAGAGTACTTGAAGGACTGGCGTTAGTGGTTTTATCGGTGCGAGGTACTGATAATATCTAATTTAGAATCAGATTTGAGTGCTCCATCTTATCAATGTATTTTCCAATGAGTTTGACTCTGGTAGCCTAACTACTTTGACCCTGGTCGCCTAACTACAACTACAATCTAAAAGTTTAACTTGTAGAATTTAGAACATTGATATTGTGTACTATATCAATAAATGCCTAACGATTGTTAACGCGAAATAATCGACGCAGACAATCTACATTGCTGCTATGTTGCTAGATGTTATGCTATGTTGCTAGAAATCAATTTCTTAAGCAGTTGACATACAGTACCCACAATTTGGACCTGCGTTAGCAGATTCTTTGAGCAATGTTGTTGGAAAGTTGTCTTATAAATGCAGCACATCTGCGTAAACGATACTAATGAATCAAATCTGGTAGCAATAAGAATACAGCTCAGTACGAGAGGAACAGGTGTCTCACATATTTGGTATTGGGGGTTGTCTGAAAAGACCCTGATAGACGGGCTTTTTGAATCGGGAGAAAAACTTTGCCCATGTATCCGTGAATGATAATTTCAAATATTAATATCGCTACATCCTCTGTAGTATATACATAT